AAAAATATTATTATTATTTTTTATTCTCATTTTTTATAGCCCACGTAGGTAAAACGTATTGATGCACACGAACCCCTTACAGGTGATGCAACAGGTATAGAAAACGCAGGTTAAAAGTGCACACGGCCCCTAAGTTTTGGCACACGGTCCTTTACAGAGGATGTAACAGGTATATAAAGCCCAGGTAAAAAAGGTGCACACGGCTCATAGCAGGTATATAAACTAAAAAAACTGTAAAATTTGATAATCATTCTGCGTGAGCACTTAGAACTGGACACAGGTGAAAAGAAATAGAAGCAATGATGAATACTTCAGAAAATTCCCAGTATTATGTGACACCTGAAGGATATGTAGGAGCTCCCATGGCAGAGATAATAAAAGATGCCGTGGAATTGGATTTGAATTTGGACATGGTTAATTTTCCTGAGGACATGAATAAAGAAGATATGAGCATTTTAAACACTACTCTGGACGGAATTGTAAACATGTTATCTGCTCTAGATAACAAACTAAATCAAATGAACACCAAGATGAATGATGTGGATGACAAGGTGAATAAATTGAACAGCAAGGTGAGTGCTCTTGAAAACAAAATGGAAAAACTGAAATGTCATAACAGCAGTGGATTTTGTTACATTAGTGGATTATTATCACCAATCACAAAGTCATTCACGGGGAAAGAGACAAAAATGAGAGAAGAAGGAGGAAACATTGACCAGAAAAAAGAAGGGACCCAGGGCGGATCAGGAGAGAGTAAGAAACAAATGGAGCCATGCTATGTATCGGTAAAAGACATAGAAAGAAAACCTAGGGAAACTAAAAGGAAACTACCCCTGACCAGTGAGAAGGCCCAGAAGAAACAGAAAATGTAAGTTGTATGTATATTTTCACTTGAATAAAATTGAAAAATCAAAATCTGTGTGTTCTTGTCTTTCAGTAAAACCAGTTCAAACCGGTTAGAGGACTGTCTAGACTGTGAAGCGTGACGTCATAATCACATTCTTGTAATGTTTTTTGCACACGGCGCATTTTTACCTGTATAGTCAGCATAAAAACAAAACGTAGTACCTACGTATAGTGTAAACACACCCTGTATTTAGGGATAGGTTAGGGGATAGGGTTAGTTAGGGCTAGGGGGATAGGGTTAGTTAGGGTTAGTTAGGGTTAGGGTTAGGGGGCTAGGGGATAGGGTTAGTTAGGGTTAGGGGTTAGGGTTAGTTAGGGTTAGGGTTAGTTAGGGTTAGGGTTAGGGGGTTAGGGTTAGGGTTAGGGGGTTAGGGTTAGGGTTAGTTAGGGCTAAGGGGGATAGGGATAGTTAGGGATAGTTAGGGTTAGTTAGGGCTAGGGGGTTAGGGTTAGGGGGTTAGGGGCTAGGGTTAGGGTTAGGGTTAGGGTTAGGGGTTTAGGGTTAGTTAGGGTTAGGGTTAGGGTTAGGGGGCTAGGGGGTTAGGGTTAGCACTGTACTCAGTTGACCCACTTATCCCCTCAGCCTCAGAACTGATCACATGATTTCTCTCAGCCAATCAGAATCTTCCGGGCTATCGGGACCCTTTATACTACTATTATGCATGTATAATTTGAATTTTCAATATGTGCAGTATTTTCTAATTTTTATATCTTACTCTTATTTTCAGCCCTTAATTAACTAGATAGAACATATCTATCAAAATTGATGTGTTACATGTAAAGACTCGTTTATGTACGGGTCGAAATAAAGTCACTGTAATGTTGTACATGTAATGCCAATGTCTTAGGATTAACCAGAGACTTGGAGTATTTAGTATTCCATTCCGAGGTGTCTGGTTTCATCGTTCAATTCTACATGTAACCCCAACCGGAATTTTGTGTATCCTTTCTACGTACATACGGTCACCGTCCTATTTTTATCGAGGTGATTTTCGAGGAAGACATGAGTCGTTTGCAATAAAGAGGCTCTACCAGACCTAAAACGATTTAATTGACGAGAAAAAAGTCTCTCGAAGTGATGTCATTTTAAGTGGGTAAATTCAGTAGGATATTAACAAAATATGACAAAGGCAACGGAAGCACGGAAGGGGGGGGTGCCCCCATCCACTTTTTTGCGAAGATATACATTATATAGGCATTGAAAATTGGGGTTTACCTTTTTTGTTGATGAAGCCCCCCCCCCCTCCTTATTTCAATTTCCGACGCCTATGTATGAGCTTGAAGCGAAACTATTGCTTGTGGTGCTCGAACTATATAAATTTCATATGAAGTAAAAATAGACTTTATAAACACTCTGAAAGTTTTGTTTCGTTTCGTTTCGGCAGGCCTCGTTTTGATTTTTTTTCGTTTCGTCTTGATTTCGTTTCGTTTCGGTATATTTCGTTTCGTTTCGGCAGATTTCGTTTCAGTTCGTTTCGTTTCTATTTCGTTTCGCACTTTACAGGTACCCCATTAGGGCCACTTTTAAGAGACTGCTTGTGGATCTTTCGTGAGATCCTTTTCGTATTTGACCTCGCCACAAAATAAAGATACATGTAGGCATAAGGTATATACAGTCACTTCACTGGACAAAAGTGTCACACAATGCAAATCAAATATAGTACTGATCACTACAGTAAGGCCTTCATCCTATCAACTATCAAACTAATATTGAAAGATTCCACGTGAGGGCAGCCGCTCAAGCGCAGGGAATACCCCCCCCCCCCCACCCCGGCCTGTTACTAGTATTTGGTTCCTACCTTCAATGAAAAGGATAAAGTGAAGTTTAGAGATACTAGTAGGAAAACATCTTTCTGACATAGTGCTTGCAAATGTATTATTCAAAATAATACTTATTTGTCTCTTTTTTGTTTGTAAATTGTGTTTCTTATCTTGCGAGCTGTGTGTTTCTCTATATACTGTTTACTGTATTTGGTCCGTCTCGGTACGTAAGAAAAATTTCATTTTTTTATAGAGTGAATTATTGACATAAATGACGGGAAATTCAATATTTTTGAAAATTAAAAGTAATCTTACTGTTTTCCCATTAATAATGGGGATCCATACATGCACTTAGGTGTCTGTGGTTGAAACTCTAAGAATCAAGTTGAGGTAAAGCCTTATTTTATATTGTGGAATGTCTTGTTGGAATGCACATGGTAAGTATCATAAAATTCTCGTATTCAAAACATAATGACCAAAATTTTTATAACAGAAAAAACACACTTATATACACAGAACGAAATAAATGATGTCGATGTCTTTGCGCTTTTAACCAAAAGACAAGGGCACCACAAGGCAGAGCATCCCCTCGCAAAGAGAACTTCTGTATTCGATAATGATCCCACGATGCAAATTACGTCACTCACCCATAGGCGTCAGAACCGGGGTGGGGGCTAGGGGGCTCAGCCCCCCCAACACTTTTTACAGCATTTTGACAGCATTTCAACATTATTTTGTACATAATATAAGCATTGAAAATTGGGGTTTGTTATTTTTTTGGTTTACTTTTATTCGTTGGTTTAGCCCCCCCCCTTTCGATTAGCCACCCCACTTTCAATTTGCTTCCGACGCCCATTCACCCACAAACGAACACGCCCAACTGCGTAACGTGGAGACAATGTCAGATTGATTTACTGAATGAAAAAATATAACTTTTGACTTTGAAAATTTATGAAACAATCTTTAAGCTGGAAAATGTATTGATAAACTGAACTCAACAAATGCTGTTAACAAATAATTTTGAATTAAACGATTTGTTGATCTCTTTAATTCATCGATCAATTGAGGACTTCGTTTATTATTTTACAAATATGTTTTTTAAAGGAGAAATGAACTAGAGAGAAACTATTCAACTAAAGACAAAAACCATTTTATTTAAATTGTGGAAATGTTGGATCGGGAAAAATGGTAAGGAAGGAGGAGATGGGTTTAAATTCAATATCTATGATGACTTGTTACCTTTAAATTATTTTAATTAATTAATAAACGAAACTTCATGCACACTTCCTATTTCGTTGAAAAATGTCATTGTATCCTAGAATATAAACATGAAAAAGGTCTCGTTATAGTTGGGAATAATGCAGAAAAACTCAACAGCGTTTATCTGTCATCCTTGATATATTCCCCGTTTATTTTGCTTTTATTACATAAATATAAATGAACAAAATCAATTTCCAGTCCGTTCCTAGATTCGATATAGAAACCGTTGCATGTTTGTTGACAACAGTGGAATCGGGCTCGATGTTCAATGTAACGAGTTTCGTAAATATTATGACGTCATTTATGCAGTGTAAAAATTTATTTAGCTATTTTAAACAGACTATACATCAAAATACCACTTGTCATTGTAAAACTGTATCCACGAATAAGTAGAGGATTAGGAGAAAAATGTTCAATACATCAAGAATGATATAATTGTTGAATCCAACAGTAAAGCCAGAGGAGTTCTGATGACGTTCCCCATAAGAATGAGTGATAAAAAACATTCCCCATAATTTTTGATTACATACAGAGACGACAGATAGGTAATTTTTACGATTAGAAAGGAGAGTCTATAATAATATAGTTATTTTCCATAAAAATTGCCTATTATTTTAATAAAATTGTAATACGGAAGCACTTTCCCCACAATGTATTCCATGCGCCCAATTCCTCACAAGTCGGTAATGACGGGTAAGAGAGAGAGGGGTGAGAGAGAGGGAGAGGGTGAGAGAGAGGGGTGAGAGAGAGGGAGAGGGTGAGAGGGAGAGGGAGGGGTGAGAGAGAGGGAGAGGGTGAGAGAGAGGGTGAGAGGGAGGGAGAGGGTGAGAGGGAGGGGTGAGAGAGAGGGAGAGGGTGAGAGAGAGGGGTGAGAGAGAGGGAGAGGGTGAGAGAGAGGGGTGAGAGGGAGGGAGAGGGTGAGAGAGAGGGTGAGAGGGAGGGAGAGGGGGAGAGGGAGGGGTGGGTGAGAGGGAGGGGTGAGAGAGAGGGAGAGGGTGAGAGGGAGAGGGAGGGGGAAGAGAGAGGGAGGGGTGAGAGAGAGGGAGAGGGAGTGAGATGGTGAGAGGGAGGGATAGGTGGAGAGGGAGGGGTGAGAGGGAGGGAGAGGGTGAGAGGGAGGGGTGAGAGAGAGGGAGAGGGTGAGAGAGAGGGGTGAGAGAGAGAGAGGGTGAGAGAGAGGGGTGAGAGGGAGGGAGAGGGTGAGAGAGAGGGTTGAGATAGAGGGGTGAGAGAAAGGGGGAGAGGGAGGGGGGAGAGAGAGGGAAAGGGTGAGAGGGAGAGGTGAGAGAGAGGGAGAGGGTGAGAGAGAGGGGTGAGAGAGAGGGAGAGGGTGAGAGGGAGAGGGTGAGAGAGAGGGTGAGAGGGAAGGAGAGGGTGAGAGGGAGGGGTGAGAGAGCGGGAGAGGGTGAGAGGGAGAGGGTGAGAAGGAGAGGGTGAAAGGGAAAGGGTGAGAGAAAGGGAGTTGGTGAGAGGGAGAGGGTGAGAAGGAGAGGGTGAGAGGGAGGGGTGAAAGAGAGGGAAAGGGTGAGAGAAAGGGTGAGAGAGAGAGGGTGAGAGAGAGGGAGAGGGCGAGAGGGAGGGAGAGGGTGAGAGGGAGGGGTGAGAGAGAGGGAGGGATGAGAGGGAGGGTGAGAGAGAGGGAGAGGGCGAGAGGGAGGGAGAGGGTGGAGAGGGAGTGGTGAGAGAGAGGGAGAGAGAGAGAGTGGTGAGAGAGAAAAGAGAGAGAGTGGTGAGAGAGAGGAAGAGAGAGGGAGGGGTGAGAGATAGGGAGAGAGTGAGAGGGAGGGGTGAGAGAGAGGGGTGAGAGAGAGAGGGAGAGGGTGAGAGAGAGGGTGAGAGGGGGAGAGGGAGGGGTGAGAGAGAGGGAGAGGGTGAGAGATAGGGGTGAGAGAGAGGGAGAGGATGAGAGGGAGGGGTGAGAGAGAGGGAGAGGGTGAGAGAGAGGGTGAGAGGAAGGGGTGAGAGAGAGGGAGAGGGTGAGAGAGAGGGAGAGGGTGAGAGAGAGGGGTGAGAGGGAGGAAGAGAGAGGGAGGGGTGAGAGAGGAGAAGAGAGAGGGAGGGGTGAGAGATAGGGAGAGGGTGAGAGGGAGGGGTGAGAGAGAGGGGTGAGAGAGAGGGAGAGGGTGAGAGAGAGGGTGAGAGGGAGGGAGAGGGTGAGAGGGAGGGGTGAGAGAGAGGGAGAGGGTGAGAGAGAGGGGTGAGAGAGAGGGAGAGGGTGAGAGGGAGGGGTGAGAGAGAGCGTGAGAGAGAGGGAGAGGGTGAGAGAGAGGGTGAGAGGGAGGGAGAGGGTGAGAGGGAGGGGTGAGAGAGAGGGAGAGGGTGAGAGAGAGGGGTGAGAGAGAGGGGTGAGAGAGAGGGTTCGAGGGATGGGGGAGAGAGACGCAGAGGGTGAGAGAGAGGGAGAGAGGGAGCTAGAGGGTGAGAGGGAGGGGTGAGAGAGAGGGAGAGGGTGAGAGAGAGGGAGAGGGTGAGAGAGAGGGGTGAGAGAGAGGGAGAGGGTGAGAGAGAGGGGTGAGAGCGAGGGACAGGGTGAGAGAGAGGGTGAGAGGGAGGGAGAGGGTGAGAGGGAGGGGTGAGAGAGAGGGAGAGGGTGAGAGAGAGGGTGAGAGATAGGGAGAGGGTGAGAGAGAGGGTGAGAGAGAGGGAGAGGGTGAGAGAGAGGGGTGAGAGAGAGGGAGAGGGTGAGAGGGAGGGGTGAGAGTTAGGGAGAGGGTGAGAGAGAGGGATGAGAGAGGGGGAGAGGGTGAGAGGGAGGGAAAGGGTGAGAGGGAGAGGGTGAGAGAGAGGGTGAGAGGGAAGGAGAGGGTGAGAGGGAGGGGTGAGAGAGCGGGAGAGAGTGAGAGGGAAAGGGTGAGAGAAAGGGAGTTGGTGAGAGGGAGAGGGTGAGAAGGAGAGGGTGAGAGGGAGGGGTGAAAGAGAGGGAAAGGGTGAGAGAAAGGGTGAGAGGGAGAGGGTGAGAGAGAGGGAGAGGGTGAGAGGGAGGGAGAGGGTGAGAGGGAGGGGTGAGAGAGAGGGAGAGGGCGAGAGGGAGGGAGAGGGTGAGAGGGAGGGGTGAGAGAGAGGGAGGGGTGAGAGGGAGGGTGAGAGAGAGGGAGAGGGCGAGAGGGAGGGAGAGGGTGAGAGGGAGGGGTGAGAGAGAGGGAGGGGTGAGAGGGAGGGTGAGAGAGAGGGAGAGGGTGAGAGGGAGGGGTGAGAGAGAGGGGAGGAAGAGAGAGGGGAGGGAGTAATAAGAGAGAGGGAGTGGAGAGAGAGAGGGAGTGGTGAAAGGGAGAGAGAGAGTGGTGAGAGAAAGAAAGAGAGAGTGATGGGAGAGAGAGGAAGTGATGAGAGAGAGTGTGTGAGAGGGAGTGGTGAGGGTGAGAGGGAGGGATGAAAGAGGGGAGGGGGAGTGGTAGAAAAAAGGACGGGGAGGTAGAGTGGGAGATGAGGTATACATTAAATTGGTAAAATTAGTTTTTTAAGTATAACAAAACAAAAAAAAAAGCAAATATTTACTGATCAAAATCTGGAATAGGGGCTGGGTGAGGTTGAACCAGAGACCCCAAATACAAAAACAGGTCATCACACACCACTAGGCTATACAGACACAATTAAGGACATACATATGTATGCCACATAGTTTGAACTTAATTGCCTTTTTCCCTGAAGTTGTAGAGTTCGAATATAGCCTTGAACTGTGTACTTCATTTTAATGTCTATTTATACTGTTGTACATGTACATTATTCATAAACAAGTTTGGATATTTGTATATTTTACTATGAATTATACAAAAAAAATTCATAGAATGATATTTCTGTGCAATTTCAATGTGTCTGTCTAGCTGTCTATCCGTCCGTCTGTAGTGGATTCTGTCTGTGCGTAACACTTTCGTTTCCACATGATACATATGTATCTCAAGAAGCCTGTGAACTTCTGCAATGAAAATTTACGTAATAACTTCCAATGGCCTACGGCAGGTCCCTTTTGATTTTGAGGTCAAAGGTAAAAGTCATTCATTTAAAAATTATGTCTGTTTTAACAGTTTCCGCATTAACTTTGAGCTTTTGCAATGGTATTTTAAACCACAACTCTCTATGGCTTAAAGAAGATCCCTATTGAATTTAAGGTCAACAGGTCAAGGTTGTAAATTCACACATTTTATAAATGTATAAGTGTTAGTAAAACTTTCTTTTCAGGGCGATATCTCAAGAACCTTTTGAGATTTTGCGATTAAATGTTACACCAAACTCCCTTCGTTCCCTATCGCCCTTCTGTACGCCCCTCCGTTCGGCTGCCTTTCTGTCACACTTTCATTTCCAAGGGATATCTCAAGAAGCCTTTTAACTTTTGCGACTTTTAAAAATTCTACATGACAACTCCCTATGGTCTAAAGAAGACGCCTACTGATTTTGAAGTCAAAAGGTTTGGTAGAGGGTAAACTAGACACGATTGTAAAATTTTGACAGTGTAGAATGTGATGTAATCATTAGATTTAAGTTCTTCGATGGCCGAGGGGAAAGGTTCTCGCTTTGGATGTGAAAAACCCCCGGATCGATAATGTAATAAATATTTCATATTAAAAGAATATTTTTAAAAATGAGCAGTCAAATCTTTATATCCATATTTGCATTTTTTTTTTTTGCTTCAGTACATAATTTAGTAATTCTGCAAATTCGGAGAAGGGGGAGGGTAAACCCCAATCTGAGCATCCTCCCCTTTTTCCTTCAGCGATGGACACATATTCTTTGAATAAGCTTGTCCTCAAAATGTTTGAACCTGGTTTATTATCAAAATATGATTCGTTTCAGTCATCTTTTACGAGAAAAAACGTGCGACATAAAAGTATATTCTGTCTCAATATTTATAGGCAGAATTATACTTAAGTATTTATATATGTCTTTCAGTATTCAACATCAGAAGCCTCATTTTGTCCACTTTCTTTTTCTGGCGATTCCTGATTTGTCTCGCTTGGTTTCTCATCAGTGTTGTCGGTCTCTTGTTCCGGTTTTGTTTCTTCCGGTGATTTGTCTTCCGGCATTATAATTTCCGCTTCCTCTGTAACATGTGCTTTCTCTTCCGCTGCTGGGCATATCAATAAAACTGGTTCTTCCTGCTTTACAACGCAGACGATCGCGACAGGTTCATCAATTTCATTGTGTTGGATATCTAAGGAAGCTTTATCACTGCCTTTATCCTCAAACACCTCGCATTCTATTTTATCCTTTTTCTTATTTTTCCGACCTTTCTTAGACTTCCGGAGTTTTTTGGGTTTCCTTGGTTTTGAGGCCTTATGGGAACCGGAAGAGGAAGAGGAGGAAGAAGAAGATGACGACGAAGAGGATGATGATTTAATCGAGTGTCTGTCCGAGTCCTCTGTTATTTTTATTTCTGGTAAAGTTTTTGGACTTTTTGATTTTCTCCTTTCGTATGATCTTTCAGTACTGTTTGAACACCCCATTCTTACTCAGGCTTGATCTGAAAGTAAAACAGCACGTTGTATACTAACTATAGTGCATATGGAAAATGTGTACTGTTATCTTTTTTCGCAGGGGGGGGGGGGGGGTGGGGGGGGGGTGGGGTTGTTAAATTTCATATTTGAACATAAAGTCATCGGATAAAAAAAAAAAACCTTGACAACTATATATTTTACCAAACAAAAGGGGGCACGAAAAATCATATCCTTTTGAGAGGTATGAAATAAAGCAATGGAGATAATTTTTTTTATTCTTTAAATAAAATTACATGAAGAGTAATAGGAGCATATCTCGTATAACGGATTTAGGATTCATTAAAAATGGTTGCCAAAGGCTAGGGTCGGGAGGCCACCTTAAGATCTCAAGTCCAGTGGGTCCAGGGTAAAGCTCAGGTGAGGGCATTTGAGGTGAAGCCTGGCTGCGGGAGTTTTGGTTTTTTGGTCTTTATTGTTATTGAAGGAAAATCTTTCATTTAATTATAGTAAAAGCAATATATATATCGACCAAAACATTTATTCCATAAAACGTCAAAAGATGGATACACTAGCTTTTTTCCTAGTCTCAAATTTACAAAAGGAACTAAGATTTGAAAAGTAAGATTTGGCTCAAAAAAAAAAAAAAGATCGCGCTGGGCTTAAGGTTCAGTGATACTCTGATAAGAGAGATAACTCTCAATATGACATAAAACTCAAATAAATATTTGTATGTATTTTACTTGTAAAAAAATTTATATCGGAAAATCACAAGTTAAAGCAACATTTTATATGACTGAGCAGAGGAAATTTAATATGAAACCTATCACAATTAATGAAATCGACAGATATTAAATGATATAATACTAAGAATGCCTAAATCAAAAAACAGAACACCATAGTACATTTTTCAAAATGCTTTTTAAGCAAATCTGTGACGTGAAAATTCAAAACCTGGATAGTAATTAACCATTGAACCATACAAATACAGAATAAGGTACTGCTTATTTTAATACTTTGAAACTTTATGTCTAATATACTCGTTGAATTTTTGCAATCGATATTCTGACAACTAGATTTAAATTCATTCCACAATGATAGATTATAAAATAAAAATAAAACAACTTACCTTTCCGTAAAAAAATTATCAACATTTGTTTCTCATAATAACCCCAATCAGTGTTTCTTATAGGCAAACTTATTCGTTGTTAAAAAAATGTTATTAATTTAGCTGCATTTCATTGTTTAATTTAAAGTTCAAGTGACCATAAATGTATGGGATTGCGTGACAGGATTAAAAATTAAATACTAGTAATAAGATTTACATTTTATATATTATCAATCCTTAAAGTAAACCTCGTGAAAAGTGCAACATATTCAGAGCGTTTCATTTATCCAATCAACTTTATTCTCTTTGAAGACGAAGGATTGATAAACGGTTAATTTTTCATTTCATTTCAAAGTAGGCCTGGTGCATGGGTGTACATGTAGCTGTACGTCATCAAAGACGATTTTTAAAAAAAAAAAATATTCCACATCTAAGTCTCATCACTGTATATTGAACTATGTTCCCAAATATTTTTACATACTTCATCGTTAGGTGGAGGTCAGGTTGAAGTCTGGATAAATATGACAGATACGTACTACCAGGAAGAAGGGGTGATTACCCCACCCCTTCCACCCCAATTCTTTCCTAACAATTCTTTACTGCTAATTTATCATAAATATGTTCATCGAAATATTATTCCAACGCTTTTTATTGCAGCATAGTCAATTTTTCTCATAGTAATGTAACCTACCAAGTTGAAAAAAAAGTGGGAACAAGAAAAAGGACCCCCCCCAACACAACTTGCATTTAGAAAACACTCGGGCTTTACTCCAACACCGGAATTTGCAGACCATTTAATCAGGTGAGTCTGTATAAACGAGGTCCCATGTCGCATTATATATGCATTAACACTAAAAGAACAATCTCTCATGCACTGCTCAATGGCGAAATAGCTGTTTTTTTCATAAAAAAAACAGAGTGGGATTAGATTATCTAATTATAAAATGTTCGTAATACATGTATATTTTGAGGAGGGACCGGGGTGGGGTGGAGACACATGTATGAATCAGAACACAGGTATGTCAACAAAATTGTGCTTTTATAAAAAAAAAGTGAAAAGACCAGCTAGGCTTTAACACTTTAGGGGAGGGGTAAAGTGTCTTTGCAACTAAGGTACACATAGACAGAGATAGGAGCCTAAAGACTCTTCATACAAACTGGCCAAAACTAAACACCAAAGTAAATCTCAACATTTATTATTCATAAACATTATCCAGATAGAACAATCTATAAATTTAATATGGATCCATTGTATAAAAGAAAATAATAAGGATTTTTACAAACCACTATTGCTAGACAGTATAAGAACAAGATAACAAAATTCCAATCATATTTTTTTCATATAAACAAAAAATAAATTAATACTACACTTAACAGTACAGTTATACATACGACTTCAATCAAAACATATGCTGTAGAGTACATAATGGAGATCTGTAATATCTAGGATGCTGGTAGTCATGCATAAAACCTAGTACTCTAACATTACAACAGAATAGAATTACATTCTGAATCTCACAGATCCCACAAATTCACTTTCCACTTTTTGTTGCAAGGAAAGAATGTTTACATTCTGTTTTGGTGTTTCAGAAAGTTGGTTGTAAGATGCATTTTAAAAAAAATATTATATTAAATACATCTTTTGCAAAGTAGAATACTAATCATGAATACTAATCAACTTTGTCTAGAGTTTAATTGCAGGAAAAATACCTCTAAACATCTCATTCTTCCCCCCACCCCCTTACCCTTTCAATGTTCAAAAGCTACCGAGGCTTTCCATTTAAGTATAAACAAATTATTTTATATTGATGTAAGACAGTCTTAATACATAACATGTAGACTATGATCCTATTTTTGACAAATTTCAACTTGCACACAGGTGTGCATTGAGATTTATATCCAATGCACCAGATTAAAAGTGTTAACGAACTGTTGCATATAACAAAGTGATTAACACATAAAACATATAATTCGGTATGTATCTTCAAGGTATTTAAAAAGTCAATCCCTTGTATATTTTAATTGCAAGAGCTAAATAATTCCAAATTGGCAACTTACTAGTCATAGGTACACATACATGTATATTGCAAAAAAAAAAAAAATAAAATTACCAAACATGATTCTGAGACGCAAGACAATAGATTAGTACAATTAACTTAATATATAATTTTAATCACAAGAAATAACATCTCTAGAAAAAAAAATAGAATTGGCACATTGAGAGAGGACAATCCTAACTATATTAACCAACTAATAAAAAATTACAACCTCTCAATTTTTTCTGGAAACTTTTGAAATTTATGGATATTTCTGTCAAGATTTTAACAAATATGCAGTTCATTCTGTCATAACAAAATGAACACATATGATAACATTAATGAATAATCGCAAGGTTTATGGATACAATATTGCAAAAAATCTGAGTATTGGTTACAAGAATACATCTAATATATCCTCACAGTACAATTCTCTGTTATTTTTGGACTTTTTCAGTAAGGTGTGGCAGTTTAGATGTTACATAATTAGCATCTGAATTTTTTCCGCCTTTCATTCACTGTTGAAATATACAAGGGATAGATATTCGGACTAATGTCAATGAGTGTAGCAAAGATCTAATGATAGCTATTCGTACGGCAAAAAGGTGGGGCTTAAGCTGTCTCTTTGTTGTCAATAACAATTTAAAGTTGCCGATGGTAATTTTTTCTTAACCAATGAGAATCTACATTGCCATTTGAGAGACGCTTTTTTACGTAGTGTTGAGAATGCCACACTTTACTGAAAGTCCAAGGATGAGAGAGAATTGTACTATTTTTTTCTTGAATAAATTGAACCTTTTTTTGTACAGGATGGAAAAAATGTTAAAATATAAAACCAAGATAAGTTCTTTTTTTTATCTTGAATCATTTACCCTTTAAAAATTGAGTAATTTTCATGAAAAAAAAGTCATTAAATGTATATCCTTTGATGTACATGTATAAAAAATCAAAGATTATAATACTGGACATAAATTCACAAGAACAATGGAATATGGATCCGACAATTAGTAAACAACGGTATTTTATTTATCAAAATGTAGGGCACTTTGTACACAAATGCAGTACAAAGAAACTGCTTGCAAAAGACCTGAAAAGATTCAGTAATTTGACTAATAAGTATTACATGTAATTTTGCACCAAGGAGTAAAATCTGAGACAGTGTTATTGCAAGTTCTTAATACAGTACTATTAAAATATTACCAAATGCATGTTGCCAATGCACTGTAACACGAAACCATACATTATATAAGTATTGTGCATGGTTCTGTATGTGTGTGGTACATGTACATCGTATATGCAATTAAAGACTGAATCATCTTACTTGGGTAGCAATATCATTACAAATAAAAATATTGTAAATTAATAAACTTCATGCATATTTTTTACTATTGAAAATATAAAATCTATATATGGCAAGGACGAAAAAAAAATATATGACATACTAAACTGGTAAAGGACTGTCATGCTTAGTTTTAATTTGAGCTATAACAAAAAAGGAAAAAATCCTAATATGTGAACAAATTACACAAGGAAGAAAAAAAAAGATAAAACAAAATAATCACAGGTTTTGCTGTCGTAAATCCTAGCAAGAAATTAATGGGAATTCAAAACTAATTTGAATATAAGATGTATAAATATTGGTGGGTAGAACTTTTTTACCCCTTCCCCCCTTCCCCCATTTTCTTTCTCATATATCTAATCCGCGGAGGAGGGAGGACTCTAGGGTGATCTGGAACTCCTCCAGTGTACTGAGTATGTGTACTAAGTAGTTAATGTGGCTGTAATTCCTCAGAAAGGAGTTCTCCTCATACATCTGGGCCGTCACTGGGGTGTTGGCAATCAGGGGAAGTAACTTCTGCAACAGATGATCCCTGAAAGGAGGCGTGTCATACAAATTAACTGATACAAATGTCAACCCTCTGAAAAAAATTACATTCAGGAAAATTCTTTGATAATTTAAACTGTAGCTTCTAAAAACTGACTATATGATATGGGTTTATTTTCCACAAGGAAACCAAAGTCAACACAGGAAAGCTTCTTGTTGAGTTGGCCACAACCCTGCACTTGAACCTAAACCTATTTTACACCACTTTATATATGGGCACTGAGGCTAGAATACTCAGACGAGCTCACTTTTGATCACGGTCTCAATTTTTCCAAAGGAATATATAGTGGAAAAGTGAGACTGAGATCAAAAGTGAGCTCGTCTAAGTTTTATAGCCCCGACGCCTGCTCTATAAGTGAGATTGTTATACCCTTATATTAAACATAGGTAATCAGAGATTACAGAGCTCACCTCAACGAATGTTGTCTTTAAGTAAGGCAAAGTCACACAATTAACCAACAAGAAGTGTACATTCCAAAAATGAAAATATTTAAGCAATTTTAATCTGATTTTGAAATAGAACTACATAAAAAATTGAAACTAGTTCTTCTTCATGAAAATGCAATTAAAATCCAGCATCTGAAGCAAATTTGAGTGTTTTCATCTCTTGATGCAACATTTGTGCAAGTTTGGTTAATACAATGTTATATAAGCCTTATAGTTTTTTGGTAATAGACCTGCACCCATAACTTTTACCTGGTCTATTATCTGAAAATGTATGTCGAATTCAGCATCCGAAGCAAGTCCATTAGTGTGCATCCCAAGATGTATCATCCATGCAAGTTTGCTCATTATAGGGCTCATAGTTAATTGGAAATGAAACATGCATCAAAAACTAACATTTTCACTCATCAACAAAAAGTAGGTCAGATTCAGCATCCGAAGCAAGCCCAGTAGTATGCATCCTTATATGTATCATCCACGCAAGTTTGGTCATTAAAGAACTCATAGTTACTTGGAAATGAACTTTAACCTATTCACTCAACTGGAAAATGTAGGTCAGATACAGCATCCGAAGCAAGCCTGGTAGTATACATCCTTATATGTATAATCCATGCTAGTTTGGCCAACATAGGGCTTATAGTTACTTGGAAATGAAACCTGCACCAAAAACTTTAACCTGTTCACTCAACCAGAAAATGTAGGTCAGATTCAGCATCCGAAGCAAGCCCTGTAGTGTGCATCCTTAGATGTATCATCCATGCAAGTTTGGTCAACATAGGGCTTATAATTACTTGGAAATGAAACCTGCATCAAAAACTTTAACTTGTTCATTCAACTGGAAAATGTAGGTCAGATTCAGCATCCGAAGCAAGCCCGGTAGTATGCATCCTTAGATATATCATCCATGCAAGTTTGGTCAACATAGGGATTATAGTTACTTGGAAATGAAACCTGCACCAAAAACTTTAACCTGTTCACTCAACCGTAAAATGTAGGTCAGATTCAGCATCCGAAGCAAGACTGGTAGTATGCATCCGTAGATGTATCATCAATGCAAGTTTGGTCAACATAGGGCTTATAGTTACTTGGAAATGAAACCTGCACCAAAAACTTTAACCTGTTCACTCAACCGTAAAATGTAGGTCAGATTCAGCATCCGAAGCAAGCCTGGTAGTATGCATCCTTAGATGTATCATCCATGCAAGTTTAGTCAACATAGGGCTTATAGTTACTTGGAAATGAAACCTGCACCAAAAACTGCACCAAAAATGTTAACCTGCTCCAAAAACATTAACCTGGTCATTCCTTTGCTGAAATTGCAGCATCTGAAACTTACAATGTTATATAAGCCTTATAGTTTTTTGGTAATAGACCTGCACCCATAACTTTTACCTGGTCTATTATCTGAAAATGTATGTCGAATTCAGCATCCGAAGCAAGTCCATTAGTGTGCATCCTAAGATGTATCATCCATGCAAGTTTGCTCATTATAGGGCTCATAGTTAATTGAAAATGAAACATGCATCAAAAACTAACATTTTCACTCATCAACAAAAAGTAGGTCAGATTCAGCATCCGAAGCAAGCCCAGTAGTATGCATCCTTATATGTATCATCCACGCAAGTTTGGTCATTAAAGAACTCATAGTTACTTGGAAATGAACTTTAACCTATTCACTCAACTGGAAAATGTAGGTCAGATACAGCATCCGAAGCAAGCCTGGTAGTATACATCCTTATATGTATAATCCATGCTAGTTTGGCCAACATAGGGCTTATAGTTACTTGGAAATGAAACCTGCACCAAAAACTTTAACCTGTTCACTCAACCAGAAAATGTAAGTCAGATTCAGCATCCGAAGCAAGCCCTGTAGTGTGCATCCTTAGATGTATCATCCATGCAAGTTTGGTCAACATAGGGCTTATAATTACTTGGAAATGAAACCTGCACCAAAAACTTTAACTTGTTCATTCAACTGGAAAATGTAGGTCAGATTCAGCATCCGAAGCAAGCCCGGTAGTATGCATCCTTAGATATATCATCCATGCAAGTTTGGTCAACATAGGGCTTATAGTTACTTGGAAATGAAACCTGCACCAAAAACTTTAACCTGTTCACTCAACCGTAAAATGTAGGTCAGATTCAGCATCCGAAGCAAGTCTGGTAGTACGCATCCGTAGATGTATCATCAATGCAAGTTTGGTCAACATAGGGCTTATAGTTACTTGGAAATGAAACCTGCACCAAAAACTTTAACCTGTTCACTCAACCGTAAAATGTAGGTCAGATTCAGCATCCGAAGCAAGCCTGGTAGTATGCATCCTTAGATGTATCATCCATGCAAGTTTAGTCAACATAGGGCTTATAGTTACTTGGAAATGAAACCTGCACCAAAAACTGCACCAAAAATGTTAACCTGCTCCAAAAACATTAACCTGGTCATTCCTTTGCCGAAATTGCAGCATCTGAAACTTTGACTGGTACAATGAAACACACTAGAACCATCTTCCATGCATGTCTAATCAATATAGGACATAGAAGTACTTAAAAAGAAAACTGCTCCAAAAAACTTAACCTTAACCTGGGACGCCGACACCGACGCTGACACCGACGCCGAGGGTATTACATAAGCTCCCCCAACTTCGTTGAGGTGAGCTAAAAAGCTTTCTATATATTTGTTACTAATAAAAGTCCAACAAAAGAAATTTTTATTACATCGGTCTAACAAGTTCACTGTTGACTGGCCTGCTGGTCCAACATAAGAATTGTTAGACAGCAACGTCACTGCTACATCACAAGTAATTAATCATAGTTCAATATCGGCGACACAGAAATAGCCTAAGTTAAGAGCTGCAAGAGTTGCTGCTACCAGCAAGGTAAGGAAGAAGGAGAGAGTATGTTTTGTGATAAATAATTTTTGTGATATAATAAAAATATAATTGATTTTCATATTTCTCAGCTATTGTTTTATATTTATTGATTAAGCCATAATTTTCAATATAAAGTAACTGATAAGAAAGTGTATTTTGATTAAATTTTTGAGTGAGCACTGAAGGGTAAAACAAAACAGTTATAGACTGGGATTCGGGCAACATACGATTTGTTGGACCTGAAGGTGAAAATGTTGCCGTTGGCCTGCGTCCTCAGGCAACATTTTCACCTTCAGGTCCAACAAATCATATGTTGCCCTCATACCCAGTCAATCACTGTATAATATTACCACTGTGTAATTTCCATTCTTAATAACTATGTATTACTAACTGTTTATCTAAAGCTTACCTTATACCGACACAAACAAATATCTGAAATTTGCCGTCCTTTCCCACAGACTCTGTGGCATTGTTGATTTTACTGAGGAAGTTACAGTAAATCCAGTAGCCGGCTTTAGCTCCATCTGTGATGGCTTGTCGCACTTCACCGGTCAGCACACTCTCAAAATGTTGCTTTACCTTTTCTGAAATCACACAATCAGAATAATGATACTAATACTGAAAGAAAAGAAAGAGTTGTTAACAAGACATTATTTCTTGCAACATCATAATTTTTGCTTAAAGGCCGAGATTTCTAACCGTACGGTTTTCTCAGGTAAGGGGAGGGACTAAATTTTACATGCGTGGCACCCCGAGGCACTGACGGTCGTGCAGACCGTGGGAAGCGCTAATCCCTATACACAAACAGTATACACAGGAAGTCAATGAGTATTACCTGTACAGCTTGCTGGCCCTATGTTCATCATTAAGTAAATTAATAAATCTCGACACCGTAAATAAAAAATATCATAAGTAATAATTGATGATAATTATAAATTCCATAATTTCAGACTTATATCTAATATCATACAAGCAGAAATCTCACCGGTCGACTTTTGTTAAAAAATCTACGGTATGTACCTTAGTACATTGTATGTCACAGTAGCAATGGCTCGAGTTTCGATGTTAAAAAAAAAATAATGAAACACAGGTAAAAATTCAAAGTAAAATACTCATCCTTGCCTGTCCCTTTCAAAATCTTAAAAACTTTTCATATTTAGCAATTAGAGCTTCGATCACGTCAAATAGTAACAGTTACTTACCGTTTGTATAAAAAGTTGCGTGGTCCTATTTTTAGCAGATGTACATTCTGTATCTTATTGTGAAAAATTCGCGATAATGATGGTTTCGTAAAGTTAAAATTACATACAAATATGTATGTATTTTTAGTAAATTCAGATTATAATTAAACAACTGAAAACAACATATTAATTTATTGCTAACTTACGTATTTCTTTCGAAACTATTTTTAACACCTGTGACCTTGAACGGAGGTAACAACCCCATGTAGCAAGAAATGCTCGGTTATAAAAAAGGAAGAGAAAAGAAAGAAATTCTTAAAATACTGGTCCAGGCATTTTGTTTTCAACATTGCTATCCAATACATGCAAAAAATGTTACCAGCTTATTTTCTCCTTTATGCTCTGTAATGTTTTCGCCGCGTCTCAAAACAAGAATCTTTTTACGACTGAAAACAGTCGCCTATACACTTTTCATTAGAAAAAATATACACAATCTTGATTTGCTGTATTGAAACACTATTATGAGATCATTTTCATTTTATAATGAAATGTTTGTAATAAAGATAATCATACTCAATTATAATCAGGTTAAAATTGTTTGTATCGAAATGGCTTCCTCATTACGATAGTGATTTAGCGGTAAACATCCGATGACCGAAAGTTAATTTTATGGTGGCCACGCGTGTCAAACAAGGTGAAGGAGATATACACAGGGGCTGGAGTAGCTGAATGTCAATCAATTTCAAGTACCCAATGATGGCCCTTAATTTATTTGATTGACAGGGGGATACAGACCAGGTAAATCTGAGGGTGGTGCTTATTATCTCGGGCTTTAAGTAAAACAACAACTGTACTTCACTTAATTTTAGCAACACCTTATTTTCACAAAATATTCAATACTGGGTAATTCTTTATGAGCCAGACAAAATTTTTTATGAATTGTGGTTATTGCTATGAATAAAAAGTGATTTACAGTACCCAGTAGGTCCTCAACAAAAATAGAAAAAAAACCAATGGTTACAATGATTAGGTACTTATACTCTTTATTGCTATTTCTTCAATGTTATGACCTTACCATATCAGAAATTTTTCAACAAAAATGTCATTTTCAAATATGAGTACATATCTATTCAGAAAACAACAAAATTTGCACTTTATTTATCCTGACTTGTTTAATATATGCACATGTTCATTTGTACAGATATTCATTCATAACATATGAACACTTATACTAACCAAGGTAGTCCCAGATGAAGAATTTGTTCCTAAAGATTCTTGATGACCTGAATCCGTACTGGAATACCAGCTCCAGACAATGAACCAAGCCCTGGTCCCCACACAATAAGTAGGTCAAATTCCCCCTCTGTCAATAAGAGGACGTTTTAGTTGACTATATACATCATCTTTCATTCAAAAGATTTTTTATATGTATTGATATGCATTGTACATGTATTAACATTTCATGGGAATATTACGTTAACTTTCGGAGTTATCCCCCTTTAAAACACAATCTTTTAGAGACCAAACAAATTTTCTGTGTATCATATCTTTCATATATAATTTTTTTTAATACATATTGAAATCAAATGTACATATAAAAATTCTACATAAAAATGTTGTTTTCCAGAGTTATTCCCCTTTAAAACACAATCTCTTAAAACTTTCAAAACAATTCCATCCTAAGGGTAATTAATTGATTTTTGTCCTAATTTGAAAATCCTCAATAACTGTAAGGAATACTGACCTCTTTTTCTGGTTTATAGAAGTGTTTGACTAGATTATTAACTGCATGCCCTAATCTCTCCTGAATCTCTGGAATTCTTAAAGATCCTAGATAAAATAAGATTTCACATAAAAATTTCAAACAGTTTATATTTCCCTAATTACATGTTTCAAATCATTTCTCTATTTGTTAAAATCATCTTCTTTAATCTGCAAAACTTTTTGAGGATGTTCATGATTCTTAACGAAAGAAATAAAGATTCAAATGTACCTTGATCAGGTGACCTCTTCGGCCAGTTTGGGGACATTCCTTTATTTGTAGGTGAGGAAGCAACTGCCAAGTCTAAATCTGGAGAAAGAGAGATACTCTATAGTTAGTGTTATCTTGTAATAAATCATCTTTCCAGAGATATATATTGCACATAAATAAGCCTGGATAATTTACACAGCAATTTAAAAATTGGTAAAAATCTTCTTGAAAAAAAATTCAGTTCACCTAAATTACGGTACATACAACTATACATGAATTGGTTAATATTTACAGCACAAGTTAAGATTTAATTCCCTCTCTAGACAGAGCCTCAACTTTTATCTTTGAGGTTTTTGAAGTAACTCAAGT